CTCCTGACTTGGTTAAAACAGCTTCAAGGCATGCTTGCAAGCTCTTCAGATCTCTGGGAAAAGATTAGTAGTCTGGCACTTGTAAGAGAAAAAAAAAGAGACTTTCCATCACATCTACTGTCACATCTTATTTTTTTTTTTTTTTTTTTTTTTCCTTGGGGAATGGAGGGCGGACACGGACACACACCCTGAAGGAGAAAGACGCAGCGGCAAGGGCAGCTACTGAGGAAAAGGAGTGCAGAGACTTACTGTGGTCGTGTTGCCTTCAGTCACCTCCACGACTGCAAATTAAAAAAAAAAAAATTAAAACATTAAAAAAAAAAAAGAAGAGAGGGCAAACTGAGATTCATTCAGACTAAAAGAAACAGTACTTTTGAGGGGAGAAAGTGAAATACACAGAACTCAACCGTCTCTCCCGACCGCGGCGAGGCAGCGGAATGCAAGGCGGTGCAGGGCAGCTGGAGGCCACCCCGAGACTCACCCTCCCGGAGGGCTCGGACTGGTGGTGAGGCCCAACCACTTCCAAAGAACCCGGTGAACAACCGCCTCAAGCCCCCGCGCAGCAGGCTGGGCGCCGCCATCTTGCCGTCGCCGGCGCTGCCGTCACTCCCGCTTCCGCCGGCGGGAAGGCGGGCTCTGCCGCCGCCATTTTGATGCGCGTCTCTCCCCCGCCCCTGTCACCTGAGGGGCAGGAGGAGGCGGGAGTCTGTTATTCTCTTACCCAGCATCTTCCTGTTGGCATGGTTTTCCTTATTTCTGTTTGTTTGTCTGTTTGTTTTATGGTTTTTAATTGTTGGGGTTTTTTGTTTGTTTGGGGTTGGGTTTGGGGTTTTTTTTTTGTTTGTTTGTTTTTTGTTTTTTAGCTTGTATCAGTTTGGGATGGAGATGAATCTAGAGGTGCTGCCGGTTTTGTGTTGTGGAGGCCTGAACTACGCTCCAGCCACAGTTTCTGAGTCTTGCCTGGCTCTCTAGTGAGAGGAAGAGCAAGGGGTGGTTTAGCTTATACTATGTGGTGGAGAAGCTCCTCTGGATGGGCTTGAGGGTGACTCCTGCATTAGGGGGTGTTTCAGGCCAGCTGTGGGATCCAGGGAAGGGATCCTGTTTTAAATCTGCCAGTTTCATATCTGTATCTGCCAGGGATGCTGAGGTCAGTGCATGTTCCGGCACTGGCTTGTAATTCAGCAGGTGAAGATTTGAAGCAGTATTTTGCCAGGACTGTTGTAACCAGTTGGTCCAGTTTAGATGCTTTCCATTTTTGTTTTAATATCACTTGCCTTTGGCAAGTCTCAGACAGCTTGTAGGCTTCTGAGAGATCACTTTTCCCATCGTCTTTCATAGCATGCCTCATCTCCTAGCTTCTTCTGCCTGCCTTAGGTGAAAGGTAACCTAGAGGTGGCATTTGAGGAAGTGTGTCAGCTGGGACTTTAGATACCAACAAACCATTCGTCTTAGATGATAATGCTGTATCTTCATGAACAGCGTACTTAAGGTTGAGTTGAACTGTACTTAATGGCAAAGGTCATTCATGAGGTTTTCCCAAATGCTTGTTTGCTTTGTCTTTGTCATTTCAACTCATTAAAATAATCCAGGAAGCACAATTAATGGAGTGAGAAAACAATTCCTTGGAAGACATGTGCACTGATATTAATGCCTTTCTATTCCATCAGTGGTCAACAGTGCTCATATTATGTTCTGTACATTTTTCTGAGTTTTTAGCTAAAATGTGGTGTAAAATATGAATTGTGACGTGTAAAATTTAATGTAAAATAAAATTTGATCTTCCTGTCTCAGTTCTTTCACCTCCTTCCTCTTGTGTGTTACATGTCTTTATTTGTTGCAGTCCAATTTGTAAATCTCTTTCTGTGGCAGATCTAAGTACTCAACCCCGGGACTTTCCAAAGAAGTGGGAATGAAGGCAGGGCTTCTGTCCAGATTTTTGTGCTCTATGCCAAGCAATGAAAACAGGGCCATCCCAGTTATTCAGAGAATAAATTGAGTAAGAATGCTTGCCGGAAGAGATCTCTTCCTCTCTCGCCACATTATGCTATGTAATGATTTCTAGAAGCAGGGTGATCTTTAGCTTGTCCAAAAGCTTAAATATAAGAGCCAAACAAAATATTTACTGCCATCCAGTCTAGGGATGACTTCCTTATGAGGAGAAGGAACATTGCTAGGCACAGTGGTAGAGTGATGTCAGATTTTTATGAGTTTTCTTTTCTTTTTTTTTTTTTTTTTTCTTTTTTCTTTATATAGAGAGTTTTATACTGGTGAAAGGAGTTTGTCTGCAACAACCTAACAGGAGAGTTTATTCAATGGCTTAAATTAAATGCATTTCTTCAGCTGGCTTCCTTACCTCTTGTGATGGGGAAAACTAAAGGGCTGACTCTTTTCATGGGGTAGAAACCAACAGTTGGTAAGCACGGTGGTGGCTCACCATGGTAAAGATATGTAGACAGAGTGTTAGGGGCTAGTCAAGAGTTTCTTCGTGTTGCAGGACTTTTGATACAGCTATTTAAACAGCACTATGGCTTTTGGTTGGACAGAAAGAGGTCAGCAATATGGTGATAGTTCAGATTAAGTATTCCGCTTGCTTGCCTCACCTTCAAACAAACACTGTCTCTAAAGGAGTTTAAGTGACACCTAATTTAACGCAAAGAAGGAAAATAGTTGCTTTCTTAAAAACCTGCAGTCTCTGGGTTGAGCGAATTGTCTCTTCTCCAGAGATGTTTTCGTTTTCTTCTGAGTATTTTCTACAACTGTTAGCAATGCAGACCATTGAGTCCCAAGGAGACAAACAAAGCATGTGCCAATTTGAGTTGGAGCCCATCATCTCTTTCCAAGTTTGGAAATTTGACATATTTCTGATTTTCTTGCAGATAATTTTTGAATGTGTTTATTTCATCAAGCACTTGTATTTAGGGGAAAAGAAAAATAGCCCTGAATACTATGTCCATGTACACGAGAGAGAAAAGAAAGTGAGTTTCTTTCTGTAAGTCATGGTCTGTGATTTGTCAGCACTGCAAAGGGACAGTTTAGATAGCACTGAACGTTTCCAAGGAACAGAATGGGATGTTACTGGCCATTGAAGAAGGAGTCCTTTTCCTTTTGAATTAAAATTAAACCTGCGCTCCCAAATGTGTCTCTGATCAGGAGCAAGGAAATACCGTATTTTAGATGAGAAACCTATGTCCTAATGGTTTATGGCCTCCAGGGATTTTATGGGACCTTTGTCAAAGAAACAGTTTTCCCTTGTTTGAACTGCTTTGGGATTAGACATTGTAGATGCTCTTTTCATACTAATTTGTGTTCTGTTCTTGTCTGAAAAATGGAGTAAGTTTTGCTATTTATTTCCTGTAATGCATTACTATTTTCTGCTTCCAACTACAGAAACTTTTCTGGTCCTTTGGGCCTTTTCTGGTCCATTGGGTGCTAATGTATGACATGTATATCTGCTCTAGAGCCTTATCTGTGCAAATAGCTTATGAAGGCTGAGGCTGTTCCAACCAAGCATGATTAAAAGTCATAGAAATCGAGATGGAAAAAGCTATTAGGTCACATAGTTCCCACACGCACCCCCAGACCAGTACAGGTTTGTTTCCAATGGTACATTTTTGGTGCTTTCCAGAAGGGGTCAGTGCAGGTCAGTGTTCACTTTGGATCTAACAGCCTGCGTCCCTTCCCCCTTCTTGAAAAATTAGGAAACCTGAATCTGGTGACAAGTAGGTTGTGAAATGTTTAGAATTTATATTATAGCTTGTAATTTGATGTTGGGTGATCAAATGCAGAAGAAATGTGTTCAAGAGTAACTATTGATGATCCAAGATTTAAATGAGGAAATTTAATGAGCTCTTCAAAATTACTTGTTAGCTATGTACATATATTAAATGCTACAGATCCTGAGGACTGTTCTGAGCATGCTCAACTGTAGCGAGAAAGACACAGATTCACAGGTTTATCCTGTTGGGTAGTCCATACTTAGAAAAAGCATATTACAATAATATTTTTAGTTACATTAAAAAAAAAAAAAGTGGATAATTCAAATGAATTTTCTGATTGTAAAAAACAAAGTGACAAAACCCCTCTTAAGTCTGAATAAGGGAAGAGAGAAACAATCATGTTGCACTAAAAATGCAGTTCATTCTCCTCAACCGTTGCAATACAGAAACCTATCTGAAGATTGTCCAGTGTCCTGAGTCTGTTAGGGCATGGAGGCTCCTGCAGAGTTCATCTCACGTGTGTGAATCAGGTGTCCTGGTCGAGAGTGGCCACATGCTCATCATCAGGAAAGGCCTGCCTGTTCCACACAACAGCTTACCCCAAATGCTGTGTTCATGAAGAAGTGACAACCAGCTTCTGAAACAAACTTTAGAGAGTGGAGGAGAATGATATTGGGACAGAAATTAATAATTTGAAGTGTGGAGGGCGATGAAAAGGTGGCTGGAGGTGGTAAGAAGAAAATGCTGCAAAGAGAGCAAGAAGAGATGGCACTCTGGTAGAAGAATGAGCGACTCACTTGAAAATAACTTGTTTATATTTTTAAGGTTTTCTTATTTTCCCAGTGGATATGGTTATTTTTCAAAGTAAAATAACCAAGTTGTAATTTCATTACGTTTCCTTCCAAGATTTCAAGCTAAGTGTAAACAAGAAAAATCCAGTGGGAAAATTAATCCAAGTTCCTTTTTCAAGAGCACTTCAGTTCTCGTTCTCCCCCTGCCTCTCTCATATATTTTCACTGCTACTGTTCTTATACCCATTTTCTGTGGCATTGCTGACACCAGCTGAAATACCTCAGAGATGGCATTTGTTTGAGGGACAAACCTTATGGTCACTGAGGATCCCTTCTGATATAGAAATAGTAAGTTCTGAGATTTTCAGAGTTTAAAAAATATTAATGACTTCTGACATTTTGGGAATGTTCCATATGGGCAAGTCAAAATGATAGAAAACAACTGAACCATTTGCACTGAGATTTGATCTCTGGCAATTAATATTTGGGCTGCATGAGAGAATCATAAGGAACAAAAACTCTGTAATAACACCATGGCAATCAGACCGGCAAACTTCCAAAGCTTTAATTTTTCCAGATGTTAAGTGCCTTTTTTTTCCAGCGCAGGTGAAGGAGGGACTTCAGAAAAACAGACAATGAAAAACATTGAATTTGTAAGGGTTAGTTGGTATAAAGACCATCACATCGTTGAATGTTCAGATACCAGTGTGCTGAAACACAAGCAGTATTAATTTCCATTAAATTAAGTCAGAGGGTTTATCTACAACATAAAAATTAAATATGTTTTATATGTTTTAGAGTATTTTAATATGTTTTTACAATAAAAATGTTGTGCCTTCAGACGTTTCCAGGCTGCATTGTAACAAATGCTGAGTTTGCTTTCAACAGCAGACGTGCTTGTAAATGGCAAGGATAAGCAGGAGACCTGGAGTCCTCCAGTTCATTCACATGAGGGGGACCCTGAAGTAGTCTGTCACTGGGGAGTCACGAAAGCCTGAAGCCAGCTGTCTGCATCCGTGTTTTGTGCTGTTGGCTGCAGCACATATAGCCTTGACAATTTCTCTCTTGCTGCCACCAAAGCCTGAGTTTACCAGAGGCCT